GCCATTCGTTAACGGATGATCCGTTGGGCCTGAAAATTTGGCGGTTAACTTTGGTGAGTATTGTTAGCTTATATTAATTTTTTCAAATTTTTCGGTCGTTAATTTAACGATTTTCGTCTCGAACGACGCAGCGTCGTAACGACTTCCTGTCGAACGAAATCGTTGGAAGTTGATGGGTCTCCTGGAGTTGGTGGCCTCAAACATTGTTTCGCGAATTGTTCGTCTGACCAGTGATTTTATTCTACTGTGGATCTTCAAGTTTTTCAAAGGAAAACTCCAACAAGTGAAAAGTGAGTTCAAAAAAAAATTCTTTCTCTTCAGAAATAATAGTATTTTTGAACATTTTCACAGATGGCGTTCCTGAGGATCCTGGTGCTGCTGATCGTCGGTGTTGCGGCTGCTGGAGCGGACTGTGGTCCAGAAGACGGGGCGTTCGTGTGTCGGGACGTCTGCGGCGAGGAGGTGAGGGGCGCCGGCGGCTACGGGCGCCGCGTGACGTTCGTCGGAGCGACGCTGTTCCTGGACTGCGTCAGGCAGGCGGACTTGAAGGTGAGTTTCGAGAAAAATGAAACAAATGCGGGTATGACAGCCATTCTTGTTCGTAGGAGGTCAAGCTGCTGTCGCCGACGGTCTGCGTCGGACGTCGGTCCGAGATGGATCGAGTGGTGACGCCATGGAGGTGGTGCGAGGAAGTCGTGCCACCCGAACCGGAGATATCGACGGCGGCGGTTCCGCCGGTGGTTGGTGAGTTTGTTTTCAGCTTTTCCACACAGACATAAGTCATTACAACACAACTCACACACATAACATCTCAACATGTATCCAACAACTGACCAACACCAAGGCAAACACAAAACCTTTTCCTTCACCATTTCTAAAAATTTTGTGTATATACAGATGAGCCTCGCCCTGTGGTGCCGACGGTCAACCTGGCAGTGGTCCCTGTGCCGGCGAGCAAAACGCCGTTCGTGGTCCGGGCACCGCCTTCGACGCAACAAAGCGTCGTGGTGGCCCAAGAGGTGCCACACGTCATCAAGGCACCGTCGTCGACGCCAGAAGTGACGGTCAACATCAAGCATGGTGTTGCGCACGTCGAGGCGGACGTGGACCCTTGGACGGCCATGGTTTTGGTCTTTATGGGTCTTGGAGGTGCAGGGGCTACATCTTTAGCTGTCTTCTTGGTCTGGCTGGTCAAGTTCATAAGGAACAAGGTTAGCCAATTTTTCTTTTGTTTTAATAAAAATGATTAACAATGCTTTTGCTTTCATGCTTGCTTTGCTTTTTTGTGCATGCATTTTGAAAAACAGAGAAAGAAAAGAATTTTGAAACTAGATAAAGCTAAAGTTAAGGAATGCATTGTAGGGTCTATGCCCAATATATTTTTTAATGGGCTAGACTCTGATGATGAAGAGTTTGAAGTTTTTTCTCAGAATTATGCTGATATCAGGGCTAGATCCCCAAGAGTCTCAACATTTAGACAAGGTAAACAGTTAGCATGTAAATACAAAACAACGCATGCAATAATTTTTGATGCTTTGCTTGGGGCTTTTTCTTTTGTCTTTTCTGTACAGTCATCGTACATGAGAGAACTGGTGCGGATGCTGACGCCGGAGGATCAGCAGGATCCGGAAGCCCAACCAGTGGAAGATCTGCTGGGGCTGGAAGAGGCGGATAAGACCGTCGAAGAAAAGAAAGAGGAAAAACTGGTCCTTGAGGACAGTAATCCGTTTAAAGAAATGTTGAACGCGTAGAAGTATTAAAGACGCGTCAAAGAAAGTGCCATTATTTCGTACCCGCGTTTTTATATGGGTCAAGGCAATAAGAGAAGATGTAAAAAGAATTTCTGGCCTCTGATTCTCTTTTTTGTTTGTCTTTTCCAGCCGAATTCTTTTTCAGAAAGTGATCAGCGAATGGACAAGATTCCTGTGGAGGAGTCCATCTCTAATCTAGGGTAAATTGCAGGCTTAGGAGTAGGAGATTGAATAAACCTCACAGATGCTTGAGCATCATCAGTTCTCCTGGAAGGAGAGGATCTCCTAATCCGTAAAACATAGCGAATTTTGGCATAGCATAGGTAAACAAGACACAGTAGGATAATGAGCAACAATGAGACTGACACAATCATATAAATATAACCGTAGTCTCTAAAGTGAATTTGTAGCTCACTGATGTCTGATGAAATTTGATGGATCCCTGGCATGACAGCAGGTATTTCTTGCACCGCATTAATCTCAATATTCTCAAGTTTAGGCAACACATCAGTAAAAGGACCATTCACAACTGTATAGCGACAATTAGGCTTAAATTGAAGAATTCCAGAGTAAGGTAATTCATAAGAATTTTCAGATGCAGATATGCTAGAATTCTTTGAACCAGAACAATACTGAGTGATCCTTCCCTTGTCATTATCCACAAATGCAAATTCATCACTATCCAGCTGCACCACAGTGTTGCTAGGAGTGCTAATTTGCTTCAAAGGACATTTAGCCTTTATTGTAGATTCATTTTCTCCAGTTTGAATTGATGACACACAAGGATCTAATTCTTGGGAAGGAGGTCTGTTAAATCTACAGATCCTACAATCAGCTTGTCCCAGTTGATTTAAGCATATAGGTAAATCAAGAGAATTTAAACCATAAAGTTTGGAGCCTTGAGATAAAAGATATGAGTGTCTCAAAAGGGCTTGTTTCCACTTAGGAGCTCCCATATAAGTATCTTCAGCAATAGGTAAAGCATGAATTTTAAAGAGCTCATATTTGTCAATGGACCTGATGATTGGTACCACAGTTGTGATCCTGTAAAAACATGAAGTGTTGACTGCCTTAAGATCTTGAGCACATGGGTCAAAGTGACCAATGGTCAGGGGGTTTGACCTGATTAAAGCAAACAAGTCTTGAAGGGTCAGAACTGTAGTTGGAGGATTGTTTTCAGTTCTGATAATTTGTTCCAATTGGGTCTTAACCTCAGAGTTTGTCAAGAGGGTAATTGGATATTGAAATTGATGAATTCTGTCCATGTCAGCCATCAAGGAAATTAAAAGCCTGGTGAAATGGGCTAGTTCATTTCCAAGACTGGTTAAATATAACCAGGAAGCAGCATCATTTGGCAAGGTGGAATTTATTTGGTTTCCCAATTGAGTTGCCACTTCATATATGTTGCTATTTGGCCTGTAATGAGCAGGTGGAGAAATTGTTGCTCTTTTCTCTTGGACCTGAATTTCATCTATCTCATTCTTTCTTCTCCTCATTATGGGTAGCAGACTTAGGTAGGAGGATTCTGGAGGAAATGGTTTGGAGGTTTCTTTTGCTCTGATTCTAAGATTAATTAATTCTTCAGTCAATTGACTTGCTTTGTCTTGCAAAAGGTTGTATGCTAATTTAATAGTTGTAGGAGAACTGGAATTTGTTTTTAGTCTGTTCTTGATGACTGTTAGAATTTTTACATTCAAGCTGTTCATCAAGGTATGAAGTTTTCCAATATCTATAGAAGTTTCTATTGTCCAAAAGTTGATTGGGGTACAAATAGAAAACATGTCCTCCAGAGTGATCCCAACATTTGCAGGGAAAGTTCTGAGTGGGGAAACTTTGTCAAACCTTTGACTGTTGGAAATCATTCCCTTTTCTTTTTCCTCAATCTCTTGGATTTCAATTCCAGAGGAGATGTGAAGGATGAAGAAAATTATCAGTACTTTCCACATGTTTTTCTTAGGGATCGCGGTAAATTTGGGAAACACTAGACTTTTTTCCAATAGTGGGGAATTGAAAACAAAGGCTCAGAAATTAATCTGGCGGGTTGTCCTCACTACTGGGTCAGTGTTGTCTGCTTCTAGTTCTTCCACTCACAGGAGATGATTTTGGAGTGGTTTGTTGCTGCTGATTTTGTTGTCGAGTTCTGGCAGCAAGTATAGAGCTGGGTGTTAGACCCTGCAGCGCTCTCGACTTTGATTTTTTCTTTGCTGATGGTCCAGCAGCAGAATGACCTGTTCTAGGTGGCGATCTGGATCTGTGTCTCGCGCCTTCAGGTGTTCTTTCCTGCAAAGTAGGACGTTGATCTCGATGAGAATGGGTTTGAGATCTGTTTTCCCTTGATTGTTCTGGCTCAGCAGGATTTTCTAGATCCTCTTCTTCTGGTATCTCAGATTGAGATTTTCTTTTCTTTAAGGATCTTCTTTCTGCTGATTGTTTTGAGCTGAACGGGAATTCTGTCCTATCCTTTGAAGTATTGGGAGTACTGACTGCTCCAGGAGGAGTATGATGTTCGTAAATTGATTCAGAGAGAGAAGGAAGAGTCTCTGCTGATGCATTAGGATTTGTAGAAGGAACATCTGGATTTAGGAATTTTCCAAATTCGTTTGTCAGGTTTTTAACTCCTTGGGAAAGAGATTGTAAGAAAGAAGGTTGCTCTATGACAGTTTGCTGGGCAGGAAGAGTGTCATCAACTTCTTCTACCTCTTCATGCATAGAATTGTCAGCTGAGACAAAGATGTCCTCAGAGCTCGAGAATGGGGTTGCATTAGCCATTGATTTAGTTGGAATAGAAGGAGAAAGAGTTTGAAAAATTTCAGAATTTTTAGAGGACTGGGGAGAACCACCCCCTTCAAAAGAAGAATGAAAGTCCTCTTTCTGTTTTGGTTTTGGTGATGGAGAAGGAGAGAAATCGAATGGTTCCACTGAAGGATCTCGGATGGGTTTAGAGGGATCCTCTTTACCTTTGGTGCTGCCAACCTGTGCAGCAGTACTTTTGGGCTGTTTCGTAGAGGTAGGGGTTGTAGGAACATACTCATCGTCGGAGATGTCATCGACAGGATGCTTTTCAGGCGGTGGTGTTCGTGACACGTATGGTCGGACGTAGCTGACGTGAATTACGTCAGTCCAAGTTGGATTTTGGTCGTCGCGAACTCTGATGACGACGGGATTGACGACGTCAATGACTGTATATGGGCCCTTATACTTTGGGCTCCATTTCCGACCTACATATGTAGCTTGTTGATGTATTCTAATCCACACCTTGTCGCCCACCTGATATTCTTTCCCTTTTCGATGCAAATTGAGCCTTTCTAAGTAGGAAGCCTGGCCTTTTCTGATGGCTTCTATAGCTTTTTTCCTAACCTCAGACAAATGGTTTTGTTTGTCTTTGTAATATTCCTGGACATTGGAAAGATCTTTTCTATTCCATGATGTAGGTATCCAGTTTGTCCTTGGTTTTACCCCTGTAACTATCTCAAAAGGGGAGGCTTGGAGAGCCTCATGCTTTGATGAGTTATGAACCCATGCTGCGAATTTTAGCAGTTCATCCCAGGTTTGTCTGTTTTCGGGATCAAGATACAGGGCCAAATATTCATGTAATTCCCTGTGGGCCCTTTCATTTTGACCGTTTCCTTGGGGCCTATAAGCAGTTGTAGTGTGTGCTCTGGACCCCAAAAACCTTGCCATATCCCTAATCTATAAGCAGTTGTAGTATGAGCTCTGGACCCCAAAAACCTTGCCATATCCCTAAAAACTTCGCTGATGAAGTTTGTCCCCCTGTCAGTTAGGATCCTCTTTGGTGCTCCGTTATCTGTTTGGGTCAGCGAATACTTATTCGCCCGCCATCAGACTCGTCTCCGTAGAGAGTATCCTCTCTTATGTTAGGTAGACCTCTCCGCTAGAACTTATTGGTTCTGCATAGAGTAAGGCCTAAGACTGCTGGGAACTGGACCCACTACATCGATGCTGATGTCTTCGAAACATTCCGAAGGGATCCCTGTGGACAAATACGGCGTTTTATGGGAATAATTCTTGTTGGCTTGGCAGGTTTTGCATGACCTGATGTAATCAGCCACGTCTTTTTCTAGATTGGGCCAATATAATTC